TCCTGATCTTGGAGGTTTTCCTCCGTCTACAGCGGTCAGTGTGAGCTGGATCACCGCTTGTTTCTCTCGATCTAAAGCTTTCTGCAGCACTAACTCAGCAGACACACTCTGCTCTCCTCCGCTCTGTACATCCAGAGAAAAGTGTTCATTTGGACTCAGCTTGTAGGTCTTTACTGAATTACTGCCCACATCTGCGTCAAACGCGCTTGTTAGAGCGAATTGCTCCCCTGGAAAAGCTGATTCAGAAATATTTAGGGTTGTCTTTGAGGTATGAAATATTGGTGGGTTATCATTGATATCTATAACGTTTATCTCAAATCTGTATATATTCAAAGGGGAGTTCACGATTGCTTCCAGAGGTAATGAACACCTCACATTCTGTTCGCATAGCTCCTCTCGGTCTATTCTCTCCTTAACGTGAAGAACACCAGTCTTTAAATTCAAATCGAAATACCTTCCGTTGTTCTCTGACACAATTTGAAACCCACGTCTTTCAATGTCCTGTAGATTCAAGTTAAAATCCTTTGCTAAATTTCCAACTGTCGTGCCTGGGTTTGCCTCCTCCGATATGGAATACACAATCTGCCCATCTGTAAAAATCCCAAAGCAAAGAAAGACACCGAAAAATATCCAGGATTTGAAAATGCGTCCTTCTGTTAAAGCCATTTTACAAAATCACTGTTACGCAAGTAAAATCACTGAAATCCTCCCGCATGTCTGTAAAATGTTTCCTGCTAAATCCACGAGTGGACTGTATCCGAGGACAATGGCGGACGAACGACTAACAAAGCCCTTATGCAGGACGAACGAAAAAGGAAAATAAGGAGGAGCCTCGCCATTTCATGAAAGCTCACACAACAGTCAGATACTGACATCGCGCGGACAAATTTGACCATCACATCAACAAATCAGAAGCAATATATTCTCTGTTTTAAGTGATCATAAAATGTCAAATAAATAAACTGTAATTCTATCATTACTTCTATAAATAATCAACCAGAATAAAATAGTTCTATATTAAAATGGTTTAAAACTGTTTCAACTGTATACGGCAAATAAATGAATAATGTAAAATGTCAATTAAAATATTACTTGAACACCACAAATACCCACAAAAATATATTGACTTTCAGAACATATGGGGGAAATGTTTGAAGATGAAACGCGTGTAAACAGAGTAAGTTTGCGATGCAAACCATTCACAGTATTACGTAGCATGTGTGTTTTGGTAAATGTGTCACCTCGTGCCAAAATATATATATATATATATATATATATATATATATATATATATATATATATATATATATATATATATATATTATTTTAACCTGTGTTGTGCAATATAAACGTTATCATTCCAACAATGTGGGAAAAAATTAACATGAGACGTTTCATGTCTGATACGCCGTGACAAATATCCGCTATTTGGACGGGCGGTGTTCAGTACCACGAACAGCTCCTATTCCACTTTAACAATAAACCATGTAGAACAACGCTTGTCCACTATGTAATACATACACAAGTTCCATGTTTTACGTGCACTCTAAAAAAATCTACCCAAATAATTAAGACTGACAAAAGAGTGGATGCCATTTAGATATGTACATCGAAATCGGAGCAAAGACTTAATTCACCAATAAAACAAAATATGTATTAACTTATCTTACCTTCTCTTTATTAGGGAGTGTTTGTGTTCTGGTAAAAGTGTCTCCTCCATTAATACTGATCAGTTCTGCATCTGCAGGCGGAAATTGCGCAGGGAAAACCACTACGTCACTCTTCAGTGTGTCCGAGCTAAAACACACGTCATACTGCTGAGTAGCTTTGGAGTAAGACCAGCTCCCGTCAGGGTGTGTGGTGATCATCGGGGCGCTGTACCTGCCCAAACTGCCGTCTGTCCTGTGGCATTTTACCGCTATCAAACTGATGAGGCTCAGTAAAAAGATGACGGACACACACACAATGGCGATCAGCAAATACAGATTTAAATCCGAGAAACTCTCCTCCTTTATCGGCGCATGTCTGAATGGGGTCTTGACGTCACCAGCGCTTTCAACAACCACAACATCAATAGACACAGTCGCTGACAGTGAGGGCTCTCCGTTATCACAAACCAAAATGACCAACGGGTGAGTTTTCAGGTCATTGTCACTCATTCTCCTCTTAGTCCTGATCTCCCCGCTGCTGGTTCCGATTCGGAACAGATTGTTTCCTTTGGGTTCAGAGATGTGGTAAGACAGCAGCGCATTGTAACCAGAATCTGCATCTACAGCCCTGATCTTGGCCACAAAGTAGCCCGCGTCAGCAGAATAGGGAATGTTCTCTGTGTTAACGGAACCGAGCTCGGAATAGGGCGCGAGAATCCCGGGACTGTTGTCATTCTCATCCAGGATAAAAACATTTACAGTCACGTTACTGCTGAGAGGAGGAACACCAGAGTCTGTGGCCTGAACCTTAAACTGAAATGTTTTGATCTCCTCATAGTTAAACGTCTGCAAACTGTGTATATCTCCACTGTCAGAGTTTATGTTGATCATGGATGTTACCGGGCCACTCTTAGAGCTGTCTAGTAAAGAATATGTTATACGGGCATTATCACCTACATCAGGATCTAAAGCAGATACTGTATGAATAACAGCTCCAATCTGACTGTTCTCTTTCACATAAACATTAATGACGGGCTCTGGAAAGCGCGGCGCGTTGTCATTCACATCAGAAACGTGTACAGCAATGACACTGGTGCTGGAGAGAGGCGGAGTCCCTTCATCAGTAGCTGTGATGGTCACGTTATACACGGACGCGCGCTCTCTGTCTAGGGGACCGTTTACCACTAAAGTATAATAATTCTTGTACGAGTTCTGAACTTTAAAAGGAACGGACCCCTGAAACTTTAAGGTTACCTGTCCGTTTTTACCAGCATCATTATCAGTTACAGTTATCATTCCAACCATTGTGTCAATCGGAGCATCTTCTTTTACAGTATTAACCAACGATGTAACAGAGATTTTTGGAACATTATCGTTAATATCTACAATTTCCAGTAGCACTTTACAAAGAGACGCTCTTGGTTTATGCCCTTTATCTTTCGCCTGCACGCGCAGCTCCACAGCATTTTTTCTTTCATAATCCACATTACCTTTCACCGTAATCTCGCCAGTTTCCGGGTTTATTGAAAATGAATCGACGTTTTTATCATTATTGTGGTTAACTAAGGCATAAACAATCTGACCATTTACGCCCTCATCTGGGTCGCTGGCCTGAACTGTAATAATGGAAGTACCCGGCGGCGCGTTTTCATTTACGCGAGCTTTATACAACATTTTACTGAAAACAGGAATGTTATCGTTTACATCTTCAACATTTACAATAATCTGCATTGTTCCTGATCTTGGAGGTTTTCCTCCGTCTACAGCGGTCAGTGTGAGCTGGATCACAGGCTGTTTCTCTCGATCTAAAGCTTTCTGCAGCACTAACTCAGCAGACACACTCTGCTCTCCTCCGCTCTGTACATCCAGAGAAAAGTGTTCATTTGGACTCAGCTTGTAGGTCTTTACTGAATTACTGCCCACATCTGCGTCAAACGCGGTAGGTAGAGCGAATTGGTCCCCTGGAATAGCTAACTCCGTAATATTTATTGTTGTCTTTGAGTTACGAAATATTGGTGGGTTATCATTAATATCTAGTACATTTATCTCAAATCTATATATATTCAAAGGCGAATTAACAATTGCTTCTAGAGTCAATGAACACCTCACATTCTGTTCGCATAGCTCCTCTCGGTCTATTCTCTCCTTAACGTGAAGAACACCAGTCTTTAAATTCAAATCAAAATACCTTCCATTGTTCTCCGACACAATTTGAAATCCACGTCTTTCAATGTCCTGTAGATTCAAGTTAAAATCCTTAGCTAAATTTCCAACTGTCGTGCCTGGGTTTGCCTCCTCCGATATGGAATACACAATCTGCCCATCTGTAAAAATGCCAAAGCGAAGAAAGACACCGAAAAATATCCAGGATTTGAAAATGCGTCCTTCTGTTAAAGCCATTTTACAAAATCACTGTTACTCAAGTTAAATCACTGAAATCCTCCCGCATGTCTGTAAAATGTTTCCTGCTAAATCCACGAGTGGACTGTATCCAAGGACAATGGCGAACGACTAACAAAGCCCTTATGCAGGACGAACGAAAAAGGAAAATAAGGAGGAGCCTCGCCATGTCATGAAAGAACAGTCAGATACTGACATCGCGCGGACCAATTTGACCATCACATCAACAAATCAGAAGCAATATATTCATTATTCTCCGTTTTAAGTGATCATAAAATGTCAAATAAATAAATTGTAATTCTAGCATTACTTCTATAAATAATCAACCAGAATAAAATAGTTCTATATTAAAATGGTTTAAAACTGTTTCAACTGTATACGGCAAATAAACGAATTATATAAAATGTCAATTAAAATGAAAACCACAAAGACCCACAAAAAATATATTGACTTTCAGAACATATGGGAAAAATGTTTGAAGATGAAACGCGTGTAAACAGAGTAAGTTTGCGATGCAAACCATTCACAGTATTATGCAGCATGTGTGTTTTGGTAAATGTGTCACCTCGTGTCGTGACAAAAGAAAAATACATATATTATTTTAACCTGTATTGTGCAATATAAACGTTATCATTTCAACAATGTGGGGGAAAAAATAACATGAAACGTTTCATGTCTGATACACCGTGACAAATATCTGCTATTTGGACGGGCGGTGTTCAGTACCACGAACAGCTCCTATTCCACTTTAACAATAAACCATGTAGAACAACGCTTGTCCACTATGCACAAAAGTTCCATGTTTTACGTGCACTCTAAAAAAATCTACAAATATTTTATATATAAAAAAATCGATCCAAATAATTAAGACTGACAAAAGAGAAGATGCCAGTTGTACATCGAAATCGGAGCAAAGACTTAATTCACCAATAAAACAAAATATGTATTAACTTATCTTACCTTCTCTTTATTAGGAAGTGTTTGTGTTCTGGTAAAAGTGTCTCCTCCATTAATACTGATCAGTTCTGCATCTGCAGGCGGAAATTGCGCGGGGAAAACCACTACGTCACTCTTCAGTGTGTCCGAGCTAAAACACACGTCATACTGCTGAGTAGCTTTGGAGTAAGACCAGCTCCCGTCAGGGTGTGTGGTGATCATCGGGGCGCTGTACCTGCCCAAACTGCCGTCTGTCCTGTGGCATTTTACCGCTATCAAACTGATGAGGCTCAGTAAAAAGATGACGGACACACACACAATGGCGATCAGCAAATACAGATTTAAATCCGAGAAACTCTCCTCCTTTATCGGCGCATGTCTGAATGGGGTCTTGACGTCACCAGCGCTTTCAACAACCACAACATCAATAGACACAGTCGCTGACAGTGAGGGCTCTCCGTTATCACAAACCAAAATGACCAACGGGTGAGTTTTCAGGTCATTGTCACTCATTCTCCTCTTAGTCCTGATCTCCCCGCTGCTGGTTCCGATTCGGAACAGATTGTTTCCTTTGGGTTCAGAGATGTGGTAAGACAGCAGCGCATTGTAACCAGAATCTGCATCTACAGCCCTGATCTTGGCCACAATGTAGCCCGCGTCAGCAGAATAGGGAATGTTCTCTGTGTTAACGGAACCGAGCTCGGAATAGGGCGCGAGAATCCCGGGACTGTTGTCATTCTCATCCAGGATAAAAACATTTACAGTCACGTTACTGCTGAGAGGAGGAACACCAGAGTCTGTGGCCTGAACCTTAAACTGAAATGTTTTGATCTCCTCATAGTTAAACGTCTGTAAACTGTGTATATCTCCACTGTCAGAGTTTATGTTGATCATGGATGTTACCGGGCCGCTTTTAGAGCTTTCTAGTAAAGAATATGTTATCCGGGCATTATCACCTACATCAGGATCTAAAGCAGATACTGTATGAATAACAGCTCCAATCTGACTGTTCTCTTTCACATAAACATTAATGACGGGCTCTGGAAAGCGCGGCGCGTTGTCATTCACATCAGAAACGTGTACAGCAATGACACTGGTGCTGGAGAGAGGCGGAGTCCCTTCATCAGTAGCTGTGATGGTCACGTTATACACGGACGCGCGCTCTCTGTCTAGAGGGCCGTTTACTACCAGAGAATATTTATTTTTGTAAGTATTTTGTACTTTGAACGGTACCGAATCACGTATCTTAAGAATAACAGCACCGTTTTTAGCTGCATCCCCATCTTTAACAGTTATCAACCCCACCATTGTATCCGCACCAGCGTCCTCTCTCACAGTTTCAGCGAGAGATGTCACTGATATTTCAGGTACATTATCGTTAATATCGATAATTTCAATTAAAACTTTACAGTGAGCCACTCTTGGGTTTGGGCCTTTATCTTTTGCCTGGACACGTATTTCAATCGCAGCATATTCTTCGTAGTCTATATTGCCTTGGACAGATATCAAACCGGAAGTGGAATCTATAGCAAATGGCATTATTTTGTTAGAGTCATGATTGAGAAGAGAATAAACTACTTCGCCGTTCAGACCCTCATCTAAATCACTTGCATGAACAGTTATAACTGATGTACCATGTGGCGCATTCTCACTCACACGAGCTTTATAAAGTGATTTACTAAATACCGGAATGTTATCATTTACATCCTCAACATTTACGGTTATCTCCATTGTCCCTGATCTTGGAGGTTTTCCTCCGTCTAGAGCGGTCAGTGTGAGATGAATTAAAGGCTGTTTCTCTCGATCTAAAGCTTTCTGCAGCACTAACTCAGCAGACACACTCTGCTCTCCTGCGCCCTGTACATCCAGAGAAAAGTGTTCATTTGTACTGAGCTTGTAGCTCTTTATAGAATTACTGCCCACATCTGCGTCAAACGCGTTCTGTAACGGAAACCTATCTCCTGGCAAAGCCAGCTCTGAAATATTCAGATATTTTTTCTCGGAGGCAAATGCAGGTGCATTATCATTTATATCTAAAACGTTTACTTCAAAACGGTACATATTCAACGGAGAATTTACAATGGCCTCCAGTTCCACCACACATTTTAAGCTTCGTCCGCATAGCTCCTCTCTATCTATTCTGTCTTTAATATGAAGTGTTCCCGTCTTTCTATTTAGGTCGAAATACCTCTCATTCTGACCTGAAACGATACGAAATCCCCGAAGCTCCAGATCGTCTAAATTCAGGCTGAAGTCCTTTGCTAGATTCCCGACAGTTGTCCCCGGTTTTGCCTCCTCCGGCACGGAATACATAATCTGGCCATTAGAGTATTTCCAAATGCAAAAAAATACAATGAGAAAGATCGACTTCGTTTGTCGTTGTCGCAGCATTGTATCTATATTCCGTAACCATAGCCGTTTTAAAACAAACAGGTATTTCCAGAGGGGAGCACAAAACTGTGAATCTCTATCAAACACAGACCGAAGACTGGAGAACAAAGCGCCCCGCAAGAAACAAAACACTCCCCAAACAGGGAGGAGCTTTGCAAAATGATGAACATAGAAATGTGTAGAGTCATAGTGACATCTTGTGGAAAAAGATAAAATAAAATATACGCATGCTGTACAGCGGGATCAAAAAATTTGAATGCTGTTACAGAAATATTATTAATAATATACTGAGACTTTTTCTCTCTCTCAAATCAGCTGAAAAGTGAATTATGATTAGGGCACGTTTTATTTATTATCTTTTTTTAATATTTTTTTTTTTGTTTATTTAAAAAAACGTTAAATTATATATATATATATATATATATTTCATATGCCCATTTTTCGTCTATAACTATAACTTAAAGGGGACTAATAATTCAAACTAAAATAAAATAAAAACATTAAATACCACTAAAAGAGGGGACACCACCCTGTCACGCAAAAAAGAAATGATAGACTTCAGGACCTCGGACAGTTACAAGAGTGGCTACAAAACAATCAGAACAGAGCGCAACCTTACACCTTAAAACACAATGAGCAAAAATCAATACAATCAATTCAATTAGCTGTTCAAGGAAATGCACATAAATGTAATTTTAAAAGAACATGAGGCCACGAAGAGGAGTAATGCTCTGAACAGTACAAAACCCAATCTTTCATAGGCATGAATGTTTTGCAACTTAGTGTCATTACATGCTAATGTCTTACCTTCTCTTTATTAGGAAGTGTTTGTGTTCTGGTAAAAGTGTCTCCTCCATTAATACTGATCAGTTCTGCATCTGCAGGCGGAAATTGCGCTGGGAAAACCACTACGTCACTCTTCAGTGTGTCCGAGCTAAAACACACGTCATACTGCTGAGTAGCTTTGGAGTAAGACCAGCTCCCGTCAGGGTGTGTGGTGATCATCGGGGCGCTGTACCTGCCCAAACTGCCGTCTGTCCTGTGGCATTTTACCGCTATCAAACTGATGAGGCTCAGTAAAAAGATGACGGACACACACACAATGGCGATCAGCAAATACAGATTTAAATCCGAGAAACTCTCCTCCTTTATCGGCGCATGTCTGAATGGGGTCTTGACGTCACCAGCGCTTTCAACAACCACAACATCAATAGACACAGTCGCTGACAGTGAGGGCTCTCCGTTATCACAAACCAAAATGACCAACGGGTGAGTTTTCAGGTCATTGTCACTCATTCTCCTCTTAGTCCTGATCTCCCCGCTGCTGGTTCCGATTCGGAACAGATTGTTTCCTTTGGGTTCAGAGATGTGGTAAGACAGCAGCGCATTGTAACCAGAATCTGCATCTACAGCCCTGATCTTGGCCACAAAGTAGCCCGCGTCAGCAGAATAGGGAATGTTCTCTGTGTTAACGGAACCGAGCTCGGAATAGGGCGCGAGAATCCCGGGACTGTTGTCATTCTCATCCAGGATAAAAACATTTACAGTCACGTTACTGCTGAGAGGAGGAACACCAGAGTCTGTGGCCTGAACCTTAAACTGAAATGTTTTGATCTCCTCATAGTTAAACGTCTGTAAACTGTGTATATCTCCACTGTCAGAGTTTATGTTGATCATGGATGTTACCGGGCCGCTTTTAGAGCTTTCTAGTAAAGAATATGTTATCCGGGCATTATCACCTACATCAGGATCTAAAGCAGATACTGTATGAATAACAGCTCCAATCTGACTGTTCTCTTTCACATAAACATTAATGACGGGCTCTGGAAAGCGCGGCGCGTTGTCATTCACATCAGAAACGTGTACAGCAATGACACTGGTGCTGGAGAGAGGCGGAGTCCCTTCATCAGTAGCTGTGATGGTCACGTTATACACGGACGCGCGCTCTCTGTCGAGAGGACCATCCACCACTAGAGAATATTTATTCTTATAGGTATTCTGTATGCGAAAAGGTGGAGAATCGCGTATCTTTAGAACAACTGCACCGTTTTTTCCACCGTCTCCGTCTTTAACGGTAACCAGTCCCACCATTGTACCAGCAGTAGCGTCTTCTCTCACAGTTTCAGCGAGAGATGTGACGGAAATTTCAGGTACATTATCATTAACATCAATAATTTCAATTAAAACTTTACAATGACTAGCCCTTGGTTTGGGGCCTTTGTCTTTTGCTTGGACGCGAATTTCTACTGCATTGCTTGCTTCGTAATCAATGTTCCCCACAACAGAGATGAGGCCACTGACAGAATCAATGGTAAAAGCGTTAGCAGTATTGTCATCATCACTGCGTATCACTGAATAAATAATTTCTCCGTTCAAGCCCTCGTCAGCGTCACTAGCGTGGACCGTGACAACAGAGGTGCCTGGAGGCGCATTTTCCACAATTCGTGTTTTGTAAAGAGATTGGCTAAATACAGGAATGTTATCATTCACATCCTCCACATTAATAATAATTTGTGATGTTCCTGATCTCGGAGGTTTTCCTCCGTCTACAGCGGTCAGTGTGAGCTGGATCACAGACTGTTTCTCTCGATCTAAAGCTTTCTGCAGCACTAACTCAGCAGACACACTCTGCTCTCCTCCGCTCTGTACATCCAGAGAGAAATGCTCATTCGGGCTGAGCTTGTAGCTTTTCACCGAATTACTGCCCACATCCGCGTCAAACGCACTTGGTAAAGTAAATCTCTCGCCAGGGAAGGCTGATTCCACAATATTTAGTTCTGTCTTTGGTGACTTAAAAGTAGGAGTGTTATCGTTTATGTCTAAAACATTCACCTCGAGTCGATACATGTTTAAGGGGGAGTTAACAATGGCTTCTAATTCCAAAGAGCATTTGCTGCTCCTTCCGCACAACTGTTCCCGGTCTATTCTCTCCTTGACGAGGAGAACGCCACCTTTCAAATTAACATTGAAATACCTCTTATTTGGGCCTGAAACGATCTGAAACCCACGAAGCTCTAATTCCGGAAGATTTAGGTTCACATCCTTTGCTATATTCCCCACTGTGGTTCCCGGATCAGCCTCCTCTGATATTGAATACACAATCTGTCCATCGGTAATATTCCAAATGGAAAACGCTGCAATAAAATACATCCACGATTTAAATCCTTGATTTGACATTTTCATAATTCCTTTAAAATATCCGTTTCATCCATGAGGTAATAATCACTACAACGCCGTAATTCCTCACTGCTCCTGCAAAAACAGAGACACAGTAATGTGGCCTTTCACGAACAAAAGCCTCACGTGATAAACCGAACCCTCCCTTAACCGAGGAGGCGCTTTACAGCCGATGTAAGAGAAAATCTCGGTCTCTGACGACACCGCGCGGACAAATTGAGGCGAAGTAATAATTCAGTGAAAAGACAGCCAGTGTCTAAAAGTGCTGTAGATGCATTCCAGAAATAATATTCCAGTCATATTATTTAACATTAATATTAATTGATGATTAAAATCTACCAAAACTTAACTGTATACGGTTTCATGGTTGTATGATTTGTCAGTGCACATTGCACAAACAAAAAAAAGAACAAAAAAAAGGGAAAATTAAGTTTCGTTACTTTGAAAAGCTATACTATATGTGCCATTTTTTTTCTCCTGATAAGACATAATATCTCCCATCTTGGCGTTCGGACGCGAGGTGTTCAGTACCACGAACAGCTCCAAAACATTTTAAGAATAAACCAGATCAAATAATGCAATGTCCATTGTGCAAAAACTTAAGTCTGCACTCTATACGAAAAACGATATTTGCAAAACAATAAATAATCAAGACAACAGAGAGGATGCCAGTTAGATGTTCAGCTCAAAATCGGAGCAAAGCCTCATATTGCCAAAAATTAAAAAAGAAGGAAATGAGAAAAAAAACTAAGTATTATCTTATCTTACCTTTTCTTTATTAGGAAGTGTTTGTGTTCTGGTAAACGTGTCTCCTCCATTAATACTGATCAGTTCTGCATCTGCAGGGGGAAATTGCGCGGGGAAAACCACTACGTCACTCTTCAGTGTGTCCGAGCTAAAACACACGTCATACTGCTGAGTAGCTTTGGAGTAAGACCAGCTCCCGTCAGGGTGTGTGGTGATCATCGGGGCGCTGTACCTGCCCAAACTGCCGTCTGTCCTGTGGCATTTTACCGCTATCAAACTGATGAGGCTCAGTAAAAAGATGACGGACACACACACAATGGCGATCAGCAAATACAGATTTAAATCCGAGAAACTCTCCTCCTTTATCGGCGCATGTCTGAATGGGGTCTTGACGTCACCAGAGCTTTCAACAACCACAACATCAATAGACACAGTCGCTGACAGTGAGGGCTCTCCGTTATCACAAACCAAAATGACCAACGGGTGAGTTTTCAGGTCATTGTCACTCATTCTCCTCTTAGTCCTGATCTCCCCGCTGCTGGTTCCGATTCGGAACAGATTGTTTCCTTTGGGTTCAGAGACGTGGTAAGACAGCAGCGCATTGTAACCAGAATCTGCATCTACAGCCCTGATCTTGGCCACAAAGTAGCCCGCGTCAGCAGAATAGGGAATGTTCTCTGTGTTAACGGAACCGAGCTCGGAATAGGGCGCGAGAATCCCGGGACTGTTGTCATTCTCATCCAGGATAAAAACATTTACAGTCACGTTACTGCTGAGAGGAGGAACACCAGAGTCTGTGGCCTGAACCTTAAACTGAAATGTTTTGATCTCCTCATAGTTAAACGACTGTAAACTGTGTATATCTCCACTGTCAGAGTTTATGTTGATCATGGATGTTACTGGGCCGCTTTTAGAGCTTTCTAGTAAAGAATATGTTATCCGGGCATTATCACCTACATCAGGATCTAAAGCAGATACTGTATGAATAACAGCTCCAATCTGACTGTTCTCTTTCACAGAAACATTAATGACGGGCTCTGGAAAGCGCGGCGCGTTGTCATTCACATCAGAAACGTGTACAGCAATGACACTGGTGCTGGAGAGAGGCGGAGTCCCTTCATCAGTAGCTGTGATGGTCACGTTATACACGGACGCGCGCTCTCTGTCTAGAGGACCATCTACCACTAGAGAATATTTATTTTTATAGGTGTTCTGTAATGCAAACGGAAGGGAATCAATTATTTTCAATTTTACAGATCCATTTTCACCAGAATCATTATCTTTTACTGTAATCAGACCGACCATTGTCCCTTTTGGTAAACCTTCCTTAACAACATTAACAAGAGACGTTACAGATATTTCAGGAATATTGTCGTTAACGTCCATTATTTCGACCAATACTTTACAATGAGCTGCTCTTGGAAGCGAACCTCTATCTTTCGCTTGCACACGTATTTCAATAGCATTGTTTGACTCGTGGTCTAATTTACCTTTAACTGTAATTTCACCAGTCACTTGATTAATTGCGAAAGATTCGATGTGTTTATCATTAACATGTTTTATGAAAGAGTATACTACCTCTCCGTTTATTCCTTCGTCCGCATCACTCGCATGTACTGTGATAACGGAACTTCCAATGGGAGCATTTTCTAGAATTCGAGCTTTGTAAAGCGACTTTGTAAACACAGGAATATTGTCGTTCGCATCTATGATATTAACAATTACATGTATTGTCCCTGATTTTGGAGGTTTTCCTCCGTCTACAGCGGTCAGTGTGAGCTGGATCACTGCTTGTTTCTCTCGATCTAAAGCTTTCTGCAGCACTAACTCAGCAGACACACTCTGCTCTCCTGCGCTCTGTACATCCAGAGAAAAGTGTTCATTCGGACTCAGCTTGTAGGTCTTTACTGAATTACTGCCCACATCCGCATCATCAGCACTTGGTAAAGAATATTTTTCCCCTATAAATGCCGCCTCAGATACATTTAATTGTAACGACGAGGAGTGAAATGTGGGAGAATTGTCGTTTATATCCAAAACATTTACTTCAAATCGGTACATGTTCAATGGCGAATTAACAATGGCCTCCAATTCTAAGGCGCATTTTAAGCTGCGTCCACATAGCTCTTCTCTGTCTATTTTCTCTTTAATTTGCAGTATTCCTGTTTTCATATTTACATCGAAATACCTCTTGTTGGGTCCAGAAGCGATCTGAAATCCACGGTGTTCCAGTTCTTGCAAATTAAGGTTTAAATCTTTGACTATATTGCCAACGGTAGTCCCAGGACTGGCCTCCTCCGACACAGAAAACACAATTTGCCCAGAAAACATCCTCGGAAGGAAATAAAATACAGTCAGATATATCCACGATATGTTTCGTTCCTTTAGTGAATTCGCCATGATCCGTCAACACCACATCCAGAGGACAAACTAAACACATTCGCACATTGTTATAGTAAAATAAACCATGTACTGTGCTGCAAATCAGAAATCCTCTATTGTGGCTTCTCACGAACAAAGCACTGTTCGAGCTCAAACGCCCTGCCCCAAAACAGGGAGGAGTATCTACGAGAATGATAAAAATAATAATAATTTCAACGCAGGTCGCTGATGACACCTTGTGGATGTACATAGCTAGTGTGGAACTGAGAAAAAAAAATAGGCTACATATGTTTTAAGTGCAATGGACAAAGTCTGTCTGGACCTGTGCTGTTGAACGTGAGCGAAAATGTCTCTTTGTGAGATATTTTTGCTGAGCTTGAGTTGAACAAAACTAAAGGAAACACAATGTAAAAAAAAAAAAATACTACTAATAAAATTAATAAAAACTTCAACCTCCAAATGCAAAGATTATAAACTGGATAAAAATAAATCCAATAAATCAGTGTAAAATACTTATATATATATATATATATTAGCACCATGGACAGCACAAACTACAGGAAAAAAAACTCCAGGCAAATAGCAAACACACACTAAAAGATTTAGCTTGAATGTAAATGAGAATCAACCTGCCAGCAAGCCACCTAGTAAAAGTCAACAATTTAATAACGATTTTGAATGTCTTACCTTCTCTTTATTAGGGAGTGTTTGTGTTCTGGTAAAAGTGTCTCCTCCATTAATACTGATCAGTTCTGCATCTGCAGGCGGAAATTGCGCGGGGAAAACCACTACGTCACTCTTCAGTGTGTCCGAGCTAAAACACACGTCATACTGCTGAGTAGCTTTGGAGTAAGACCAGCTCCCGTCAGGGTGTGTGGTGATCATCGGGGCGCTGTACCTGCCCAAACTGCCGTCTGTCCTGTGGCATTTTACCGCTATCAAACTGATGAGGCTCAGTAAAAAGATGACGGACACACACACAATGGCGATCAGCAAATACAGATTTAAATCCGAGAAACTCTCCTCCTTTATCGGCGCATGTCTGAATGGGGTCTTGACGTCACCAGCGCTTTCAACAACCACAACATCAATAGACACAGTCGCTGACAGTGAGGGCTCTCCGTTATCACAAACCAAAATGACCAACGGGTGAGTTTTCAGGTCATTGTCACTCATTCTCCTCTTAGTCCTGATCTCCCCGCTGCTGGTTCCGATTCGGAACAGATTGTTTCCTTTGGGTTCAGAGATGTGGTAAGACAGCAGCGCATTGTAACCAGAATCTGCATCTACAGCCCTGATCTTGGCCACAAAGTAGCCCGCGTCAGCAGAATAGGGAATGTTCTCTGTGTTAACGGAACCGAGCTCGGAATAGGGCGCGAGAATCCCGGGACTGTTGTCATTCTCATCCAGGATAAAAACATTTACAGTCACGTTACTGCTGAGAGGAGGAACACCAGAGTCTGTGGCCTGAACCTTAAACTGAAATGTTTTGATCTCCTCATAGTTAAACGTCTGTAAACTGTGTATATCTCCACTGTCAGAGTTTATGTTGATCATGGATGTTACCGGGCCGCTTTTAGAGCTTTCTAGTAAAGAATATGTTATTCGGGCATTATCACCTACATCAGGATCTAAAGCAGATACTGTATGAATAACAGCTCCAATCTGACTGTTCTCTTTCACATAAACATTAATGACGGGCTCTGGAAAGCGCGGCGCGTTGTCATTCACATCAGAAACGTGTACAGCAATGACACTGGTGCTGGAGAGAGGCGGAGTCCCTTCATCAGTAGCTGTGATGGTCACGTTATACACGGACGCGAGCTCTCTATCTAGAGGACCATCTACCACTAGAGAATATTTATTTTTATAGGTGTTCTGTAATGCAAACGGAAGGGAATCAATTATTTTCAATTTTACAGATCCATTTTCACCAGAATCATTATCTTTTACTGTAATCAGACCGACCATTGTCCCTTTTGGTAAACCTTCCTTGACAACATTAACAAGAGACGTAACAGATATTTCAGGAATGTTGTCGTTAACGTCCATTATTTCGACCAATACTTTACAATGAGCTGCTCTTGGAGTCGAGCCTTTGTCTTTGGCTTGAACACGTATTTCAATAGCATTGTTTGACTCATGGTCTAATTTACTCTGAACTGTTATTTCACCAGTCACTTGATTAATTGCAAAAGATTCGGTATGTTCATCATTAATATGTTTTATAAACGAATATACAACCTCTCCGTTTATCCCTTCGTCCGCATCACTCGCATGTACTGTGACAACGGAAGTTCCAATGGGAGCATTTTCTGGAATTCGAGCTTTGTAAAGTGACTTTGTGAATAAAGGAATATTATCGTTTACGTCTATTATTTTAGCAATTAAATTTATTGTTCCTGATCTTGGAGGTTTTCCTCCGTCTACAGCGGTCAGTGTGAGCTGGATCACAGACTGTTTCTCTCGATCTAAAGCTTTCTGCAGCACTAACTCAGCAGACACACTCTGCTCTCCTCCGCTCTGTACATCCAGAGAAAAGTGTTCATTCGGACTCAGCTTGTAGGTCTTTACTGAATTACTGCCCACATCCGCGTCAAAGGCGTTTGGTAAAGAATATTTTTCCCCTATAAATGCCGCCTCAGATACATTTAACTGTAACGACGAGGAGTGAAATGTGGGAGAATTGTCGTTTATATCCAAAACATTTACTTCAAATCGGTACATGTTCAATGGCGAATTAACAATGGCCTCCAATTCTAAAGCGCATTTTAAGCTGCGTCCACATAGCTCTTCTCTGTCTATTTTCTCTTTAATTTGCAGTATTCCTGTTTTCATATTTACATCGAAATACCTCTTGTTGGGTCCAGAAGCGATCTGAAATCCACGATGTTCCAGTTCTTGCAAATTAAGGTTTAAATCTTTGACTATATTGCCAACGGTAGTCCCAGGACTGGCCTCCTCCGACACAGAAAACACAATTTGCCCAGAAAACATCCTCGGAAGGAAATAAAATACAGTCAGATATATCCACAATATATTTCGTTCTTTTAGTGAATTCGCCATGATCCGTCAACACCACATCCAGAGGACAAACTAAACACATTCGCACATTGTTATAGTAAAATAAACCATGTACTGCGCTGCGCTGCAAATCAGAAATCCTCTATTGTGGCTTCTCACGAACAAAGCACTGCTCGAGCTCAAACGCCCTGCCCCAAAACAGGGAGGAGTCTCTACGAGAATGATAAAAATAATAATAATTTCAACGCAGGTCGCTGATGACACCTTGTGGATGTACACAGCTAGTGTGGAACTGAGAAAAATATATATACATTGGAAGGCTAAATATGTTTTAAGTGCAATGGACAAAGTCTGTCTGAACCTGTACTGTTGAACACGAGCGAAAATATCTCTTTGTGAGACATTTTTGCTGAGCATGAGTTGAACAAAACTAGGAAACACATTGTTAAATTTTTTTTTTTAATAAAATTAATAAAAACTTCAACCTCCAAATGCAAAGATTATAAAATGGTAACTGGATAAAAATAAATACAATAAATCAGTGTAAAATACTTTATAATTATAAAAAAATAATCAGCACCAAGGACAGCCAACCCGATCACACTAAATGCGTCTCTATAGCATGCAGTGTGATTATCGTGTAATTTATACGCGAAAATGAGTTTTTACCCACTGAGCAAGCGACGTCTGTGGACATACAAAACAGGTTGATATCACGTCCGTCCGTCCAGGCCATAATCTGAACGTCCATTGACATCCAGAATTAGTTGATTAATGACAATGAGAAATTATGTCCAATCTGGCTATAATCTAAACGTCCACTGACAGCCAGAACTAGTTGAGAAAAGACGTTCATACTGGCTATAATCTGAACGTCCGGTGACATCCAGAATTAGTCGATGAATGACTTAAAAAAATATGTCCAATCTGGCCATAATCTAAACGTCCACTGACAGCCAGAACTAGTTGAGAAAAGACGTTCATACTGACTATAATCTGGACGTCCGTTGACATCCAGAAATAGTCCATAAATGACGTGAATAAAGATATCCAATCTGGCCATTATCTTAATGTCCACTGACAGCCAGAACTAGTTGAGAAAAGACGTTCATACTGACTATAATCTGGACGTCCGTTGACATCCAGAAATGGTCCATAAATGACGTGAATAAAGATGTCCAATCTGGCCATTATCTAAACGTCCACTGACAGCCAGAACTAGTTGAGAAAAGACATTCATACTGACTATAATCTGGACGTCCGTTGACATCCAGAAATGGTCCATAAATGACGTGAATAAAGATGTCCAATCTGGCCATTATCTAAACGTCCACTGACAGCCAGAACTAGTTGAGAAAAGACGTTCATACTGACTATAATCTGGACGTCCGTTGACATCCAGAAATAGTCCAGAAATGACGTGAATAAAGATGTCCAATCTGGCCATTATCTAAACGTCCACTGACAGCCAGAACTAGTTGAGAAAAGACATTCATACTGACTATAATCTGGACGTCCGTTGACATCCAGAAATGGTCCATAAATGACGTGAATAAAGATGTCCAATCTGGCCATTATCTAAACGTCCACTGACAGCCAGAACTAGTTGAGAAAAGACATTCATACAGACTATAATCTGGACGTCCGTTGACATCCAGAAATGGTCCATAAATGACGTGAATAAAGATGTCCAATCTGGCCATTATCTAAACGTCCACTGACAGCCAGAACTAGGTGAGAAAAGACGTTCATACTGACTATAATCTGGACGTCCGTTGACATCCAGAAATGGTCCATAAATGACGTGAATAAAGATGTCCAATCTGGCCACAATCTAAACGTCCACTGACAGCCAGAACTAGTTGAGAAAAGACGTTCATACTGACTATAATCTGGACGTCCGTTGACATCCAGAAATAGTCCATAAATGACGTGAATAAAGATGTCCAATCTGGCCATTATCTAAACGTCCACTGACAGCCAGAACTAGTTGAGAAAAGACATTCATACTGACTATAATCTGGACGTCCGTTGACATCCAGAAATGGTCCATAA